TGAATCACTTAATCCTAATATTACTAACTCTTTTAGGAAAGCCTAGGTAATCAATTTGCTAGATCAACCTGAAGAACCAAGTGGATTGGGTTAGTCAATTTTACTAGATCAACTTGGAAACTAAGACTTAGGTGTATTTCATCATCCATCAGAATGAACAAGAGAAGCTAAACTTGGCGAAATGCACCCTTTACATACTAAGTTTGTGACTTAGGTTTAACATATTTATTTATGATACTACTAGCAAGTCAAAGCATAAAAATTGAGGCATGCGTATTAGAGTCAATATTATATGTTTTGTTGTTGAAAAAAGATAGCATTTATGTATTAATGTATGTTCATGCTAAATTATGTGTTAAGAAAGTTTTTCCATCATGTTTGAACATTCTTCCTATGATTGAGTTATACATTATTCTAAGGATGGACATATTAGCTTAGAACAATACCTCTAGAAAATAGAGACACAGAAAAGTAAAATTTATCTTCCTTATTCAAACAAGTTTTATTTTTCATTGAGATAATTGGGTTATGCCACTCATCAATTTAGTAATAAAGGTAATAAAACGTATTGAGAAGGGTTTTAGGCATATCAAGTTTACTTGCATGACTTTTATAAAAAAGGTCAATATGATTGAAGGGATTCAAGTAGTGTGCGATTAATCATATGTTATTTTGAATGATCTTATGATCCAGCCATCAAACAAGGATTTTTAAATAAATGATAAAATTAATGTTGTCACATGGACGTAGCATGCTTCAAAGCTTCCCTACGAAAATATGATGCCTAACTTTTTAGAATTGAAGTGTTATAAGATCTCTTGGAGAAAAGCTTTATTTGGTTGACTATCACAACACAGGGAGCATTGATTTTTTTTTTTTATGAAGAAGAGTGCTGAGAGTCTACAACATTGCACTTAGCATTGATGACTCATTAAGTTCATAATATATTTTGACCCTATGACCTATAAGAGATCATTTTGATGATCATAAGTGTTAACCCCATAAGCTTATTATGAGCTTATTTTGATCAAGTATTTCCATTCATTTTTTATGAGATGTTAAGTTTTCATGGAATGCTTATTGTTAACATGCATAAACTCACTGTTGATTTTTCTCATAGTGAGCAGGGGTGTCAATTTCGGGTCACGGGTCGGGTTCGTGTCGAACCCGAACTAATCCGAAGCTAAACGGGTTGACCCGAACCCGACCCGGTTATGGATACGGGTTACTATTCAGGACCCCGAACCCGACCCGAGTCGGGTTCGGGTCAACCCGAATTGACCCGCTGACCCGAGTTATTTGCATAAATACAAAAAAAAAAAATTAAAAAACATCAACACAGTAAAATTTAAACAAAAATTTGCATAAATAAAATTTTTATTTATGAATCAGAAGCAATTTACTAATTACAATATACAAATTATACAAAATATTAAACTAACAAATAAATTAAACAAATAATTACAATTTACAGATATTTCAAACCAATATTACAATTTACAAAAATTTTGAACTCCTTGACTAGTTGATGTCTTGTGCAGTTGTGCCTGCCTGGAGTCCTGGAAATATAAGCTAACAGCAGAAATTGCACAAAAATACCAGAACATAGAGCTCGACATGGCTCGATCTCGATTGCAAAGAATTAACAGCAGTAAGTGAACAGAAAAAAATAGCAGAAACTAAACAGAAATACGATAGCATAGAGCTCGACTTGGCTCGTTTCAACCACATAAGTGCATCACTGCAATAACTTAACAGAAAAACCAGTATAAACTGAACAAAGAAAACTAGAAAATCGAGCTCGACTTGGCTCGTTTACACCAGAAATAACAGCAGAAATTGCACAAAAATACCAGAACATAGAGCTCGACATGGCTCGATCTCGATTGCATAGAATTAACAGCAGTAAGTGAACAGAAAAAAACAGCCGAAACTAAACAGAAATACGATAGCATAGAGTTCGACTTGGCTCGTTTCAACCACATAAGTGCATCACTGCAATAACCTAATAAAAAAACCAGTAGAAACTGAACAAAGAAAACTAGAAAATTGAGCTCGACTTGGCTCGTTTGCACCAGAAATAATAACAGAAATTGCACAAAAATACCAGAACATAGAGCTCGACATGGCTCGATCTCGATTGCACAGAATTAACAGCAGTAAGTGAACAGAAAAAAAACAGCTGAAACTAAACAGAAATACGATAGCATAGAGCTCGACTTGGCTCGTTTCAACCACATAAGTGCATCACTGCAATAACCTAACAGAAAAACCAGCAGAAACTGAACAAAGAAAATTAGAAAATCGAGCTCGACTTGGCTCGTTTGCATCAGAATATCGGAAAAACCTTAACCCCATAAGGAACTTCGTAATATGTTGATCAAAGGAAAAGGAGAAGAAAGGAAAAAAGATGAGAGATACAAACAGCGAGAGAGGTAAGTGTTCTTGTTGAGCCAAAGTAGATGTGCACGATGAACACCACAAAACCACGGACCAAGAATATGCCACAGAAGGAGAAGAGAGTAAACCGTCGACAGATCGAGGAGATCTGTAGAGAAGAAAATCATATTCGGAAACCCTAGACGAAGCAGCGAAGGAGAGGAGAGCTCGAGTTTACGATACGTGAAATGAGAATAACGAAACCCTAACCCTATACGCTCGTAAGTCGTAATGAATCCCGCTGTGAGCTGTCCCGCACTCGAGTTAACGCCGCGTGAAAATACATCACGGGTCGAAACGGGTCAGTTAACGGGTTTCCGGGTTAACCCGGACCCGACCCAAAATTCCATCCGGGTCACTTTTATGAACCCGAACCCGACCCATTTTTCAAACGGGTCGTGTCCAACCCGAAAATTCTGGGTCGTGTTCGAGTCGGGTTTTCGAGTCGTGTCAATTATTGAAAACCCTAATAGTGAGTATATTTTTAGGTAATGGATTGAAACATTGTGGGTGGCGAAGAGGCCATCAACTATGGGTAACTTGAAAATCATAATTGTTCATTAAACTAAGGCTAGCGAGCCAAGTTGAATGAAATATTGTTATGCCTTTTTTTTTTTTTGTAATTGGCCCTATATGTAAGGTTGCAAGCCACATATGAGTCGTCTATAATGAAATGCATAAGCTATTGTTAATGCAATTTATATAAATTGTATTACATTTTATTTTTTATAATTTTATAATATTTTTTTTCTTGTGTATGCCTTCTTAATAGCACCATCATGTAAAAATAAACTTTTAGGTTCCACTTTTGAATGTTGATATTGTGTCAACTTTTGAGCAATGAACCCTTCTAAGGCACCAACCCTCCATGCTTATGGATGTACCAAAAATGACCACAATGCCTAGTTATGTATGATAGTGACTTATTCTTAACATCTCAAATATGGTATGAATGAGCACAAATAAGGTAGCTTGGACCAACACCTTGAGCCTCCTTACATCAATGTGTTTTGAGCCATATAGGAGGATCAAGCTAGTTGGTGATATTCTTATTTTAATTTAAATTTTCTGCTTAATAGGGATGATGGTAATTGCTCTTATTTCTCTTTTTACACTATTAGGAGTATTAAAGATATTTTATCTTCTCTTAACTACTCCTTTTCGACAATTGCGGAGGAAGGTAACACTCCTGCTCGTGAGATGGCTAAGCTGGGTTGTGGTTTTGATACTTTGGTTGAGTTCTCCGTTAACCAGTTGTATATTCCTATTAAGGGCATGGTGAATTTGGACTGGATGGGGTTACCTTATGTTAAAGCTTAATGGGTGTTGGTGCTGGGAGTGGTATTACTTTGCTGGTTGGTTTTTGGGTACCCTGTGTGGTTGTTTTTGGGGGATTTGGTTCTATGTTTTGTGTTGGTGCAGGTTGGTTGTTCAGGCTATTTTTTGGTTGGTGTGTGATGTTCTGGGTTTACATTCCTAGCGTTTATTGGTTGTGTTGATGCTGGCTGGGGGTTTGGTCTTTCCTTAAGTCTGTTTGGATGTGTTTGGTTAGGGGTTGCCTTCGGGTGTTCTGCTATTCTTTTGGTGTCTGTTTTGGGGATTCAAAACTGCTGCAATTTTTTTATGGCTATTGATTTCTCTCTGATGCAGGGCAGGTGGTTCCAAGCTTGGTTGTATCCTTTTTGGAAGATCCTTAATCTTCTCTTTTGCATTGTCAATTGCTTTATGTTCCTTTTGCAGTTTTTTGTCTATTTTATGTTTGTGCAGGTCCTTTTCTGGCCGGTTGATTGCAAGATCTTTGTGGACACCTGCTGCTGGGAGCATTTTGTTTGTTTTTTGTCTAGTCCCTTCTTTTTTGGGTGCTTTTCCTTAAGTACCGTAGCATGTTCATAGGTTTATTTGTATTGTTTTTAGCGAGGATCTCGAGCTTGTAGGTTTTTTTTTAATTTTGTTTTTGTAGCTCTTTGAGCGGTAGTGAGATTGAGAACCCCTTAAGGACCTTGTAATTTTCCCTTATATTAAGGCGTAGGCCCCTTTCATGGGTTTTAACCAAAAAAAAAGCTACAGTTGGTGATAATATAATTAACTTATATAAAAAAAGCTAATTGGGGATAAAACTAATGAAAAATAAATAATAAAAATAAATAAATGGATGTATTTTCAAATAGTTTTAGGAATTTTTACTTAAACACTTAAATTTTAAATATATTTTATGTTAATATTTTTTAAATAAGATGGATCCACAAGTTGAGTAAAAAACTTGCTCAAAATTAGCTCATTAGCTCATCAAATTTAGCTCTCGAACAATCAAGTTGAGCCCTATTCGACTTATCTCACTTACACCCTATTCCAAACAACAATCTCAAACCACAAACACAACAAATGAATCAAACTAACATAGAGCAATTGTTCTTCTAATCCCAAGTAATATATAATTAGGTTTCGTTTGGGACAGTTTTCTACTATTTCTTAAAGCAACTTTTTAGAACAAAATTTTTTTTACAGTTTCTATGGCATTGGAAGCAAAAAGGATAACTTGAAGCAAAAATGTCAGAGGAGAAGCAGCTCACTTGTATTCACATAATACCCAAAATTCTCTCCCATTACACTTAGAAGACGATAATAATCTACTCATTGGTCCTTACTCCAGGCTCCTGAATAAACGAAGACAACCAAAACCAGGAGCCAGTTCATAACATAGCAAGGAAAAAAAAGGATTAAAATAAAGTAAAAAGGCAAAACATTAATACCACTAATACTACTACTAAGCATCATCATCCTCCTCTCTACTCCAGAAATCCAGTCCTTGTGAGCACAGCATCCCTCACCTTGCGCTGATCCCTTCCTTTCAGAGTCCTCCCTGCCCCCTCGCAAACAGAAGAAGAAGAAATCTGACTCCTTGCCATCTTCCTCGCAATCCATTCATGAGGAGGTAACTTGTCTTCTTCCTCCTCATCTTCTTCCTCCTCGCACTTTCTTCTATGGACGTTAGACCAATTGGGTATATTAACTGGAGCAGACTGCCTGCTTTGTTCTCCATTGAAATTTGTTCTTGGCACCGTCCTAGAAGAAGATTTTGACGAAAAGGAGAATTCTTTCTGCTTTCTAATCTTAGGACTTTCATCCTTCTTCTCCTTCGCCATAGCCCAAACCTCCTCCTCCTCAAAATCTTCCTCCATATAGATTAACTTGCTCATCTTAGAAGCTCCAAAGATGGGTTTTTTATGGAGAGTGAAATGGAATTCTGTCAGAAAGCCACAGTGTGGAAAAGGGAGAAGGGTAGAGGACAGTGGTTTCCACAAAAGGGAAAGGTTTGAGGCTAGAATCCCGGAAGCAGACGAGCAAAGATGTTGGAACAGAGGGATTGGATAAGGAGAGTACGGGTTCTGAGCAGTTATTCCCTGGAAAGGACAATTTGACAGTATAGGCTTGGATTGAACTGGAAGCAGAGCAAAGGTCTATTCTGCTGCAGTGAAGAAAATGTTGGGGCAAACAACTCGTAGCTGGGTGGGTTTCTTCTTCCTCTTTAAATTGTTGGTTCAGGTGATATTTAGTCGGAAGGTGCTGTTGATCAGATGTGACTGGGGACTAGGGACTGTGGCTGTGTAGCGCAGCTTTATTGTGCTTCCAACTGCCGAACAACAGTATTCCTTTTCATAAAGAAATTTTTAATGAAAAAAAGATTATATCAGATGAAATAGTATTTACATACATTCATGTAGCTAAAAAAAAACAAATTTTTATATATTTTACGATTGAATTTTATATTAAAATATGACAAAATTGACACCTTTCATGTTAAAACATGAAAAAATGCCTGCAAGCTTAGCCCCGCCTGCCCTACTTTGCTGGAGTTCACCACCCTCCCTGCATGTGAGCTTTGCTTCGCCTGCTTGCAAGATCAACCCTGCTTGCCTACAAAGATCCGCCCTACCTGCTTGTGAGCGTCACCTTACCTGTCTACAGGCTCCTCTTTGAATCCTCCGAGTATTCGATGAGGTCCCGTAACTCCATTAATGGAGTGTTGGATGGTATGAACAGTGATGTTTACGTGCGAACTATGTAAATAAGTTTTGAATGCTATTTACATGTTCTGGCCTCCATGGATCGGCCTACGAGTGTTTGATGAGGTCCCCTAACTCCATTAATGGAGGCTGGATGGTGTAAATAGTAATTTTTGTATGAAATATATAAATGAGTAAGTTTTGAATGTTATGTGTGTAAATCCCCCGTTAAAATGAACTTACAAAATTATTAAATATGATTTCAGATTAAAATTATATTTATAAATTTTATGTTGCATTAGTTTTTTAATTGTAATTAATCTACTGTCATATATGCTTATTTAAAAGTTTTTTTGTTAAAAATTACTGTAGATTTATATGATTTGTGAAATAAAATAATAGTCTTAAATTATCGTAGCTGCTTTTCATGAAATGGAATAAAAATTTTAATATTTTATAACTAAATGTACTATTTTATTTATTTTTTAAATTTGAATAATTAACTCGATCATGATTTGAGGGTTTTTTTTTGAAGTTTTGATGCAGTTATTAGGATTCGTTATGCAATGCAATTATTTAAAACTTTAATTTTAATTTAAGTTTAGATTTGAATAATTTAATTATGACATCAAAATTAAATATGTTTTTATTGTTTTTTCTGCTAAAATATTACAATTTTTAAATTAATTGTTAATATTTAATAAAGTCTTAAACCACTCATTAGTTGAATTTAATTTTAAATCATCAAAATTTAAACTTTTTTGCATTATGATCATCATTTGAATTATAGAAAAATAAGAGAATAAAATCATGATTTCTTTTAAAAATTTCTATATAACCCTTAGTTTCAAAATTATTAAATCAATAGTAATTTTATATTCTCATATGTAAAATTATATATAAAAGTTATATTGGTAGTTAATATAGTTAGTATTTTTATTTGTATTAAAGCTTTGTTTATAAATATATAATTCTCTATGAAAGAACAGCGCATATTTTGTCATTTTATGAACTTTTTTTACAAGAGAATAAAAGCAAAATAATATATTTTGAAAGTTTAAATACAATATATTTTATTAGGTAATAACTTGATTTTTTTTTCTTGCATAACTTAGTATTATTATTTGCATTTGATATTTTAATTTAATTTTATCTTTAGATAATGTTTTGCAAATTTTCTTGGTCAATGCCTGAACTAATTATGCGTTTTATATTTGTAATAAATAAAATATAAATTTTTTCGAAACTCAATTATGGCTGAAATTTATCATATAAATTTAGATTTCATTTTACTAACGATGTTGGTCTTAACCATATAATTTGCGTTAAAATTAATATTATAATTGGATATAATATATAACACAACACTAATGCGTTCAGCTCATTTATGTTCGCGAACAATATCATTTGAAGTTCGTGAATAAGCTCGACATTAAGCTCGATTTGTGTTCGATTTTGAACTCGTGAAGAAGCTCAATAAAAATAATTAATATTTGACTATAAAATTAATAAATATAAATAATCATTGCCTTTCTTACATAGACAATTGCTTTTATTATAAATATATTTGTTCATAGATATGTTCATGAACGTGTTTGTTTGATAGTTAAAAAAATTCGTTAAATATGTTCGCGAACAAGCTCGATAAGCACTAAACGAACAAACATGAACTGAACATGAACCAAACATGAACACTTATAAATTTAAATGAACCAAACATGAAAACAAACAATAAAGCTCGAACAAATATGAACCAAACTTGAACAAGCTGATATTAAATGAACACAAACATGAACATTCACATACTCGGCTCGGCTCGGTTCATTTGCAGCCCGTCTCAACCATACATTTTCAATAATGAGGACTTTTATTATAAAAATTTGTGTTGAATGTTTCATCCTATATTCCATTAGGATGTACTTTAAAGTCTTTTGATTTGCGTTAAAATGAATGTCATAATTGAATATCATATATAACACTAATCTTAAAAAACTTTAAGAGATTTAAGACCATTTCTAACGCAGAGTGAGCCATGATATCCATTATATATAAGTCAAAATTCACTAAAAGGTTGACTATTATTGTAGCAGCTCTTGTTCGTTAGATACAAAACTCCACTTCTCTATCCTCACTCATTCCCTCACCATGTTGTAATTGAAGAGCAAAAGTTGATGATATCTTTTGTGTGATTATTTGATACCTCCATTGTGACTATAATAAACACTACAACTCTTAATTAGAATGGGCATCATTTTTTTTAATATTAATACTATAGTAAGATTTAAACCTCTCATCAACACTTTTTGAAATAGAGGCAATATGCAACACATGAGCTAATGCTTCTTACACAAGGATTTTCATGATAGTGCTTATCTATTCATGACTACTTCCAACAACATCAAGGGTGAAGGTCATGTTAACTTTTTATATAATGGAAGATTGGTCGTGATACATCTTAGTTATGCAGCACCTTCCACTGCTATCATAAATAAATCGTAGTTATGCTAAATAAAATAATTGATTGGTATTTAGGAATCAAACAAGGGACTATCATTCTCCTTCCGCTATTGCTCAAGGTCAAAGGGAGAAGAAAATAAGAATAACTTCTTTTGTTCAACATATTTTAGTATGTCATAATCAAATATACTTCAATGATTTTATCCTGTAATAGGAATCATTTGAGTAAGGGCTCATGATGAAGGTTGTATAAGTCAAACTCACTTCTTAATGTTAGAACAAAGTCGATTTAGCATGAACATATTTATCCACGCCTCCTATGATCATCTTTTCTGAAACCCAAAAAGCACCATTCAAATTATTGATAAGAGAAAATCTTAATATTTTCATTTATTTTAATCTATATCATCCTAGAATCAATTCATCTTTATCCAAGGTATGGGCTAAGGATTAAAGAAGAAAGCACATATTCTATGTCACCACACCTCATACAAACACCTTTATTTGCTCAATCATCATCAATCATCACAATATGAAATGAATGTTTGTTACATTTGAAAATTAGCTTAAATATGATAGAAATAATCTTTATTTGCTCAGGTATTGAGATGGGTATATAAGTGGGATTAGAATAGAATTAAAGGTGTGTTAAACAACTAAAGAGACTTGCACGTAGGCTAATCTTCATCCATGAATGACTTGGGAGCTATATGGTGTGCTTTAAGATCAAATGATTGGTCCTCCATAAATTTTAAGCTTAAATGTTCGGAAAAAGTAGGAACTCAAGTGTAATAATGATCACTAGAATTAAAAAGCTAATTGGCAAATAAAACATCAAAAAAATAAAAAAGAGAGTTTGTATGGTTTGGTAAGATTCACTTACATCTATAACCACATAAAGATAAATGTACGCTTGTCTAAAATAAATATATGATATAAATATTTTCACTCATATTTTGGTCATTTTTACCTTACTACATTTTCTCTCACTCGTATTTCCTCTCTAAACTTGTTCATGAATGATTCACTAGTGAATATTTTCATCGAATATAGAGAAAAGTTTGTCACCTCCTATATTTAATAATACAGGAAAACCTAGGTATATCGGTGGATTTTCCAGCAGAATTATATATGCTGGTAGTAACGTCGGTGTAACCAGAGGATATTTAGTCTGTTACTTAGTGGTGGGTTTTCCAGCGGATAAACCGTTGAAATATTTTTGACGAAAAACCCATCGACAAAGCCACAAATTTTTCTAAAACTGGTTGTAACTTCCGGCGAAACACGCGTCGGAAATTACCAGGGCTTACTTAAACCTATCAAAATGTTTAAGTCAGAAAATTTCCCCGATTCGTATTCAACGGACATTTCTGATGGTTTATCCGCCGAACTACCAGCGGAATTTTTTCGTAGACATTTCCGGCGAACAAAATAGTCGAAACGTGTGCTTCACAAACAACGATATTACTGCACAATGCCACCATAATTTCGTCGGTAAATCCGGAAAAAAAATGCCCGAACCAAGTTTTTGATGCACGTTTTACCATCAACTAAATTTACGCTGGAATTACTCGTATTTCGACGAATCTGGGCTGCCAGTAATGTGAGTTTTTCAATAGTGTAAAATATTGGTGTGAAATATCTAATATGATAAGGCCAAATCTGAATTGTATGAGTTTTGATGTGAAATAAGTCTATTAGGATATATAAAGGATTAGAATCCATAAGATTTTGTTCGATGTAGGGAATCTAGAATGCTCTAATTTTTTATATACGTATTGGGAGTTATAAGGGGTCAGAATCTTGTATTCTATCTGAAAGAGAAGGAATTATATATGTTAAGAGTTATAAAGGGCCATAATCTTGGATTCTGTTTGAAAGAGGAAGAATTCTATTACGAGTCATAAGGAGCCATAATTTTAAGTTCTATTTGAAAGAGGGGGAAATCTGTTACATTTTGTTATGTGAGATGAAGTTTACATGAAAATTTAATTTATTTAATTTCTCGATAATATTATTTAAATATTTAGATAACTGCTATGTTATTATGATTTTCTCAATACATTGAATTGTTATATTGCATTTGATAATTTTTGAAAATATTTAATAAAAGAAATAGCTGTTTCAGGAATTGACCTGAGTCTGTAGGTATTTCTTGTTTTAATTTTCACACATTCATGACAAGTTTTTATTATTTCGTTATGTAGTTTTTCTTTATAGCAATGCACTGTGATTGCATATGTATTTTGATGTTAAATGAAAAGAAAAATTTATGGATGAGTTTATTTTCAATACTCGGTGTTATTAACAGCTCTGTGTTTATTTTTATTTTTAAAGCAAATTGGAAGAAAATTTCTAAAAACTTTTCAACACTTAGATATTGGGATTAGCCTGTTACAACTCATCACAATAAGACCTGTTCAGCCTGTAAGTCTTATCGAGTTGGATTGTGACACATCTAATATGATAAGGCCAGCATTCTTAGACATGCAACTCTTAATGTTTATCGATCTAATACATCCCAATCTTCTTGAATCATAATTATTAGATTCCACTTATAGAAGGAGAGATATAAATTTATTTGATATAGATAATTATATCCTCAATTAGGAGAAATTATTTTGTACGAATGTCAGACACAGCTCTACACCTGGATGTCGTGGTATTGAGTGATACTAAGGCTTAGTATCCAACGATACCGAGCCACATTTCAATTAAAGAATGACGTGGTGCATTTTTATTGGTCTATAGAATGCGTTCGGTGACCACACATAATAATTTTTCCTCAAATAAATGATGATCAAGATAACCAAAAAAAAAAAAAACTTCAAAGAGAATACTAAAAAATGAACATAAAATAATTTACATGATTTTATGATATCTTATAGACAAAAACTAAGATATAAGTACTTACACCCAAACATTGAATAATATAGTTTCGGTATTATTATGAGTGAAAGTAAACCTGTAAACCGTCATCGATCTACAGCATCTCATATTGGCATTGTTTCAAGGAAAAAAAAAACTTTAGCTCTCATTCCAAATTCTCATAATTGTAATGAATTCTAGCAATTTATTGTTCCAAGCTATTAAAATAGATACTCAAGTTCTTCATACTTCAGCTTAACAGATGCTTGGAAATTGAGTTCTTTTTTTTTGTTTTTAGTCTGCAAAATTTGCAGAGAGTACTGGCTAGTTTAGAGCCCTCATAACTGATCAGAACCTTATTATTTATAAATCCCATCAGACACAACTCCCCTTGGCCTATTGGTTGAGAGCTTAGGCTTCCAACTAAGAGGTCCAAGATTCGAGTCCATTTGTATGCGTTGTGTGTGTGAGTTTGCCTTAAATGGCCTAAATGTCCCAAAAAAAAAAAAAACTAAATCCCATCAGTAATATCAGAATGCCTATTATGTTCAACTTTAATGTTCACTGTGAGGAGAAATTATTTCATAGGGAATCCAAACGGAAAGTTTTCGTTCGAACTGTGAGTGTACATTGTGTACTCTCACAGTCCGAACAAAAATTTCTCATCTAGACTCCGCACAGAATAAATTCTCCACTGTGTGCACTTCTTTCATAGCAATGAGCGGTACAAGTTCATGTTTAGAAGTTATTGATTTGTCTACCCCACCTTCCACACAGATCAGAGAACCTAAAATATATGTTGTAGTCCTCTAATAATTGAAGAATCCTTTTTTTTTTCCTTGGTAGATGTAAAGCAACTTAAAGCTATTTTTTTCTTGTAAAACTTAGGGCAATTTAAAATCCCTTTTTTATTTTATCTTATAAATATTTTGAAATGTTTCATTTATAATAAAAATATATATTTTTTAATTAATAGAATAGTGGCAGCTATCATCAGTGATGGTTGCAATGGTCTGTGATAATAATTATTTTTAAAATATTCAAAACATCTAAAATTTATTTTAAATATTTTCAAATAAATTTGATTTATTTTTAAAAATATATACAAAAAAAAAAGTTTAAAAGCACATCAAATAAAATCTTAAGAAAATAATAATACCACCATAACCCTTAGAAGAATTGATTTATATGATATGAAAGAATAAAAAAATAAGACACATAACATCTAAGATGCTAAGCTTGAAAATAGTACATCTTGTCTACAAATTATTGGAATGTGATCAATAGTTTTGCTCCAAAGTGGTGATGCTTTTGAATGTAGAAAACTAGGGGCCACTTTTTGTTATTCTACTTGTCTTTGCATGATTAAGGTGGAAATGCAACTTTTTCAACCAAACTAGTTAATTACATTATTATTTTTAGGTCTAAAATCTATTATCCAAATGAACAATAGGTGACTTAGAGTAGGACATAATGAACAAAGGAAAATTCCTTTCTCCTTTGTGCCTAATCACCTAACTTGTATTACTTTAGTAGTTATAGGGGCTCTTTATTTTGATGATATTTAATTGTTATGTAATGTAATATTATTATCATATATTAGATGGATGCTTTGAATAGAGGGAAACAAGGAAAATGGAATGCCAAAAACTTTATGGCTTTTGCATTAATCTACAGGCTTCCATTTGATGCATTTATGTTTCATTTTCTTGCCTTTTTTTTTAGAGCAAGCAAACAGGTTTTTTAAATTTTTTTCTTTAAGGCTTCATTTGGAATGGCGTTCTCTCTGCTTTTTAAAGCGATTTTCTATTACAAAATTAAATTTTTGTACTGGAAAGTCTCTTTAAGGAGGATAAAGAAAGCCATCTGAAACGAAGCTTAAGTTTATGACTTCATTTGGGACATCTTTCTTATTATTTTCTAAAGCAACTTCTTACTGCAAAAATTTTTAGTTCAAGAAATTTTTGTACTAGAAAGTCGCTTTATAAAACAATTAAAAAGTTGTTCCAAATGAGGCCTATATGAGTGTCCAAATTCTGAATATTCACATTTAAATTCTGTTGAATGTAACTATGATGCCAATTCCTCGCTCCACTTTCTTTGATGCCTTGCAAAGTCAATATATAAGTGTGGGCTCCGAAAATTCGGCCCCGGCCTCCGCTCGCTCTTCTTATTCGGCGAGGGAGTTTTAACGAAATAAGTTCCGAGGTAAATTTTTCGCGTGGTGTGAGGTATAGGGGTCAACAATAAGGAAATTTTGTATTAGAAAGCTATTTTATAAAGCAATAAGAAAGTTGTCCCAAACGAAACCTATATGAGTGCCCAAGTTCCTCATATTCACATCTAAACTTTAGTTTGAACTACGATGCCAATTCCTCGCTCCACTTTCTTTGATGCCTTGCAAAGCTAATATATAAGGAGACAAAGCATCAATCTGATCAGTTGTGATAACTCATCCATAAGTTTTTGTTTTGGATAGATTTATGCATCATTATTGAAATCTTCTTTATTTATAATATAAGTTACCTCAAAATTTAGCTAAGAATATAAGTTTTTTTTTTCTTATCCAACCTGAAAGACAGCTCCTGATGCTTTACAAGGAATTTATTCTTGATTTATAGTCAGGGAAGGTAAATATTATTCCTCCACAATCTTTATATTCACATTTCTTCTATTTTTTCTCAGAAAAAAGTATTCAGAATATCTCATTTATTAGGTGAAAGGAAACAAAGATATTGCCAATCATTTCAACATCTAATTCTTATAGAGTTTGACACTATATCCCTACAGCCAATAAGTTCATAATGTGCTTCAGAATATTATTAACTACTAATTGCATGTTTTTAAGACTAGCTAACTAAAAATTTAATTACCTAAGAACAATAATAATTGATGGTTTGAATAGTTTAATGAGTTAAGTTAAACTTTCCTCCATAAAGCAAAGTTCACTACAATTATTGACTTCATTACCATTGTTGATCTGAAAGCCATCACAATTGATTATTGAAAGATAGTACAGTGTGCTTCTGCTTTGTCACAAGCATAAAGCTTATCCAACTTTGGCGACAAAGACAACTATATAGATATTAATGTTAGCCATCAAGGAAGAAGGACGATTTAGCATTTTGAATTTATTATTCTCATGAACTGTTGCTTGATATTTACATTCATGGACTGGGCAGCAAAAAGAAAATTATTCTCTTACAGGAAGTGCAAAATCTATGAGCAAAGTAATAGGCTAGTGCGGTTTTATTTTTTGCGTGAATTTTAAATCACATTGGTTGTTTTTGTTCGCATATCATGTCACTAGAGAGAGAGAGAAAGAGTGTTTTTTTTTTTATTTACTTTTCATCAAGTAAGGGAAAACCCATACACATATGACACATCATATACACAAGCTTCAAATTGAAGATCTATTGATTGATAGTCAAAGCTCTCAACCAATATATGAATATAAGGAGAGACTATTACGTGCGGAGACCAGACATATAGAACCATTCGGTTTTGTTTCTGTGAACAGTAAAAGCGTAGTGGTGCTTTTATTGTTCACAGAGATAACTTGGATGATTCTTGGTGTCCGATTTCCGCACGTAATAATTTCTTGAATATGAGCTACGTGTTTCAACAAGTTTAGATATTGTAGAACCTGTAGTTCGATCAAATTAGCACATTGGAGCATGAAAAATTGAATATCAACTAGCAGTAAATTAATAACAATGTAAATAAAACGATGCGACTGCTGGATTTGAACCACCAAAGAGCAATGTTCAAGACATCTTTGGTAAAAAAAATCAAGTTTTAAGTTATCATAATGGCAAATTTTAGCCACATTTTACTGCCAAAATGTGAAAAGTAAAATATTTTTATTATGAATCCAAACTACTTTTACCATCAATTAAAAGAAATCTCATTTCAAAGCTGATTAGAAAGGAACTTCTCTTTAATCCAAATATAGCAGGAAGATACTACAGCTGCAGCCTAAGGAAACATTTAATACAGTATTACTGACAATGAGACTTCGCTGTATTATTAACTTTATTAACATAATCATGACTTGTGAGAAAAACAGAGAGAGAGAGAGAGGTACAAGTTGTTCATCTTGGTTGATTTCTTTAAATTTCTTCTTGGTTCATATTGATTTGCATGGTAGAAGTGCCTTCACCATCCATTCTCATGCTATTAGTATGAGATTTTGTGCTTCTAATTGAACCATCTTGTGCTTCTTCAACAGCTGCTCTGAAATTGATTTTTGGAGGAGGCAATCTGGAGAATAGAGCTTCTTTTATGTTATTTATCATTCCCTTATCATAAGGATTTCTAGAATTTGAATATCTTTGCTTAAAATTCTCCCGAGCTGTCTGCAAAGACAAATAGAGATGGAAGAATTGAAGGTCAAGTGCCAGGGTGAAGGAGGATAAATTAGAAATGCAGAACCTAAGCAAAATTTAAAAAGACAAATATGGATGAGTGTTTAAACATGATCACGCATCTATTGAACTTTCATGTAATGACTGAAGATCTAAGTGAATTTAAACACAATTAGTGTTGCTTGTCAGAACTTTTACAGGGGTTGAGTGAGATAGTTTATATGTTTTTATTTCATGAAAATTCACACACACATATAAGAGAAGAATAGTAAGTGACCTTAGAATTTTTACGTTTAAAATCTAAAAAGAGAAATTATGGGTCATAATCCAATTAAAATAATTCAGCTAGTATTTACTATCGGCTGCAAATAATGCCCTTACTCATGAAAGGAGAAAATGTTGATATAGTATAGTAGACACATAGCATGCATTTATGATAGAACTTAAAAGATTCCTATGACATGAGAGTTGTCTTTAAGAAATAATTTATTGTTTGTTTGGCTGATATCATTTGAGAAGAGGAGAGCATAAACCAAAGAGTCTACCATTAATTTTGGCCTTGACATCGAGAGTCAGAGTTGGCGTCGATGAAGTGCATCGATTTTATAGATGATGGAGTAGGTCGATATTATTAGTGATGATATGTGATGAAATCAGCGGCGTTTAGTGTAGCTAACTAGATGAAAATCATCAGATGAATATAGTCAAGCGATATTGGTCAGAGGATCGTAGTTGAGAGACGATGATCAGAGGATTGCATTCGGGTGATGGCGATCAAAAAGTTATGGTAGGTCGACTGTGGTCAAAGGATTGTAATCGAGAAATGGTGGTTTGAGGATAGTAATTGAACAATTGTAATAAAAGTATTGTAGTTAGCCGATGGTGGTCAGAGCATCGTACTTGGACAATGATTATTAGATGACCATAGGGCAACGACAATCAATGAGCCATAGTTTAGCGACAACGGTAAGGAGTCCATGATCAGGAGACATGGTCAGAGGATTATAGTTAGGCCACGGTGGTCGAATGATCGCAATGAGGCAATGATGGTCTAAGGACCATAAGAGGGTGAGGATGATTGGAAGATCGTAAGGGGGCGATGGTGGTTGCAAGAACACAGTTAAGCAATGAGGGTTGGAAGACTGTTGTTGAGTATTGGTAGTCAAAGGACCTTAATTTGTTGATGATGGTCAAAGAACTATAGTCATACAATTTTGGTCGGAGTATCATAATTTGTAGATGGTGGGAAAAGGACTGCAGCCGAGCGACGATCGTTAGAGAATCTCTATCAAATGAAGATAGTTAGAGAACTATATGAGGGCAATAGTGGTTCACTGGCAACAATTGGGTAGTGGTTTGATGATGATGGTCAGAGAACGATGGTCAAATTGCAATGATACAATGATGGGGTTCAAACAACAGTGGTTCAATAGCGGTGTTCTGACGACAATGATAAAGCAATTGTCAGATGACAAGGATTAGACGGGGGTCCAAAGATGCTAGTCCGAAGGTAGCCCGACAGTTGTGCTTGGGTGGAGCTCCGAGAATCATTAAGCCTCCGTGCTCACTAGAATCTGAAGTTAAGGTCTAAGACCACCTCTTATTAAGTCAATGCATATTTATAGCTTTTTTAGAATGACAATACCATGTAAATATAGTAAAGATTTGCAATACCCCATTAGACAATCTATATTTAATCCCTCGATTATAGAATTTTCTATACCTTAAAGTTGTCAGAATTAGATAATTTTGGGCTCCTTGAATTCATCACATTGAGACCATTGATTTGACTCTTAAGCATCACATCTTTGGAGATTGTTTGGCACTCAAATTAATATTTCAAAGTTTTATATTACACTTCTAGTGCTTGATATGGGCTCATTCAAACTTAGATTGGATCACTTTTGGTGTAGTTTGGTTTATCCCGTCAAGATGTTCAATTCAACTATAATTTTATTAAAATTTGAGTTCAACTGATTAAGAATTTGAATTAGGAAGTTTCCAATTAAATCATGCATCAAAATTAGTGTTTAATCAAGTCAATTTTTTTTATAAAATATCTATCTTGAAGAGATATATGCTAGTTTTATTTCTTAGACTTTCAAAACATTCTGAAAATTTCATCAACATATTAATTCTAGAATTACTGTGACTGAATTACTGAGTTGGTAAGAGAAAATAAACCTGATTCAATACTATAAGATAAACATGAAAAATTGCAAGGCCTCCAAGAAAACCAATGGCAGTAAAACTAAACACAGAGAGAGCAAATGTTTCAGGTAACTCCGCTGCTGCCCTAAAAGCTCCCCATTCATTTTCAGACATCTCCTTCCCAATCTTCCACCAGGAGAAAGACAGCATATAAATGAAGAACACCAAAGACGAAAATATAAACATCATATAATACCGATAATTTCGCTGCATATCAAAAACAAAGCCAACTCATCAATCAGGATAGATAAAAAGAAGAAAAACAAGAAGAATTAAACAGAAAGATCTCATCTTTGATCTCACCAACCCAACACACTGGCTTAGCCATGGACAATGGTGATCAAATTTCTCCACACAATTGTCACAAACAGGGCAATGGCAGCTTCTAGGTGGGCGAAATATCTTACAGATCCTGCAGTACTTAATCTTCATCTCAATGCCATCAATGGTGATCCTTCTGCTTCTTACTCTGCTACCAGAAGCAATATCTTCCGAAGGAAAACTCTCACACCTCGGAATAATTCCTGGATCCCTTGTGCTTGCCAAGATTAGACTAACAATAACCTTTAAGATAGATAAAAAAGTTTATAATGAGATATTTTACAGGCTCAAAACTTACTAAAATATCATTTATGTACTTACAACTGTTGTTAACAGCAGTGATAAAGTGATTATAAGGACAAAGTGATTAAGCAGAGTTCTGCAAACATAGCTGCAGAATATCCATTCCGAAAGAAATACTGAAACTGAAGTTAGAAGAAGGCCGCGGGGATCAGGGCCACAGATTACTCTCCCTCTAAAGAAGAACACCTGTTTCGACTTCTAAAAATGTAAAAAATCTAATCTTTCTCTGTGCTTGATATTCAAAACTTTGATGAGATGCAGCGTATTTGACTTACATTTCTTCCTGGCCAGATTTGATAAACTCTTGTTGGTGAACTGGAAGAGAGAGCGCTGGAGAAGAGACCGAAGCAGTTCAGGATTGGGATTTGATAGCCAAAACAATTTTTCCAAACAAGTTCATTTGGTTCTGGAATGTGGGACTGAGATCGATCCAGTGGCTGTAGGGTTGTTGATGAAGAAGAACTGAGATCTTCGGTTTTGTTCTTCGATTTAGATCTTTCATGGAAAGAAGAGGCCATACTTGTTGGTTTCTGGAAGTTAGTTCTTGTGATTTTTATCCTGGAGAAGGCCTCTTTGTTGACGTTCGTAGAGGCGGTTGCGTTCAAATTATGATCCTTGTGAAACGGAACGGCGAGTCGATGACTCGGTTTTTTATGAGCCAGTCCGACTCAGTCCAGCCCACAACCACATAAATTAACTTAGTAACAAAACATGCACTTTCCATTCAAAATATAGATAAATAACTTTATATATAAACAATGATAATGTGATTAATATATTATAAAATTATAAGTTGAAATATAAATTTTTTTTGCATGAAAAAAGCTTAATTTACATCTTTTTAATGTCTTCCTCCAAATTTTAAGAAATAAAATACATGTTCGAAACCCCCATGTGAGCTCCTCTCCCATTGCGGAGAAATAAGCATAATATAGAATTGATTCTTATTTTGTTAATTTCTAATTCTCCCTGCCACCATCTTAACCCAAATGAGCATGTAGAGCTCAAATCGCAAGTTGATGATTTATTATTAAGAGATTTTATATGAGAGAGTTCATCTTTATTCGTAGTCCCTACCATTCTTACCCAAAAAAGATACTTAGATTGACATTGTCGATATAGCTTAGCAGAGTTATGTGCTTTGATCAATGATACTACTAGTTGGAGTCTTTTTCTTCCTACTATAAAGTTTTCCTATAATAGTTCTATTAATCGGTTAATCGGTATGAGTTCTTTCAATATTATTAATGGTTTGAGCCAAGAAAATCAATTGATTTAAATATTTCATATAGGTCTAGTTCATTTTTCATTCTCATTTGAACAAAGTTACTTGACTTATATCAATAAATTCAATAAAAACTCATTTTGAATAATGATAAATATAAAATGAATAATATTAAACATAAACAATATGTAGAATTTAATGAAACTTAGTTTTAATTAAAGTTAGACAAGATAGATTCATTAGAGAAACTCTTAAGAAGTAGAACCTTAAGAAATATAGTATTTATAAATTTGTGATGAAGATAAATCATAATGCTTATGAGATAAATCATAATATATCTTATGTAAGGATTTGTAATTGGAATGATAATAGTGGTATGTATGATAATGACAATAGGTATGATGATATGTATGCTAATGATATTCTATGTAATAATGATTGCATATGTGTAAATAATAATGGTTGGTTTGAATTTGGAGATAGGTTTGTATATTTTGGTCTCTTCCTCTTATTCTTATAAATAGAGAGTCTCTTATAATGCTAAGTTTTTGTTTTGAGTAAAAAAATTTCTTCTTGAATTTTTAGTCTTCTTTGTGCTTCAACACCCAAGTGAAAGATTGTTTGAGTGTATGAATAGAGAATGACTTCTTAAGATATAATGAAAATTTTGTGAGGAAATTTTATTTATGGAGGTTAACTTTAACTTATCCTAACTTTGCATGCCACTAGTTGCCCTTAATCAATATAGATTTTCATTTGTTATTTACATTTATAAGAATAAACATACATTGTGATTAACATAATTATAGTTAGAACCACATCACTTCTTGATATTATATTTATATTCAATAGTAAAATATTTTTTTTTAATTCACTTACAATTAATGCAATAATATTATTTCATATTAGATTACATTTGTTCTACATCATTAATCATTTTTATGTGACTTTGTAGGAAATTATCGATTATTATGTCTGATACGACATCACAAAATTGGCTTGATCGGGCACGAATCTCGAGGCAGAAGCTAGTTGGAAACTTAAAAAATTAATTTCGGGAGCATATGAACTTCGATTTCAGCGAGCTTATAGTTAACTGAGCGTCTCGGAAATACGAACCCAACGACACCAAGATCAACCCAATCCGAGCCCAAATGAGTCCGAATCAAGGGTTCAAAGCGCTGTTGGAAGGTTCAAACCGCAATTTGAGTTAGCAACGGTCTCCGATTTTGACGAGCTTATACTTGAATCGAATGGCTCGACAAGACGAATCCAACGAGCCCAAGATCATCAAATTCCAAAATTATTAAGGCCTTTAAATGCCCAACGAACGGTGCATGATCAAAAGATTCGATATCGGCCGTCCATTCAATAATCACTCCCAATTCCGCCCCTGATGCTCTCGTCCTAATTTACAGGCATATGTCACCGTGCCAGAAATACTTATTTAATAAGGAGCCTCTATTCTACACCAAGGGGGGGGGGGGTGGTGAGGGAAGAGAGAGAAGAAGAAAGGAGGGAAGGAGAAATGAGGAAAACGGTAGAGTATCCTCACTTCGCCTCGAACCACCGCCAGAGCTCTTCCTGCCGCCTGAAGACGTCGGAACTCTGCCGGATTTTCAGGAAACGCAGGAATTCTGCACAACTTCCACGTGATGCTGAAATCCTTCCCAATTTACAAGAGAGTTCCCTCCTGACGCCGAAACTCCGCCCAAGTGAAGCCGGAGTTCTCCTCTGCCACCAAAGACGTTGGACTTCTACCCAACGTCGGACCTTCACACTTCGCCAAGTCTCCACCCGACGCCGGACTTCTACCGGTTATCGGACT